TTAAATCCAAAATTAGTTCAACATGGAATTTAGCAATCAAAGTTCCAACCAAATAAACAATTAAAGATCGGATCTTTAACATATTAGAGACTTCAAAATTACACATTCACCATAAACATTCACACTTGAAGCAATTAATTTGCAAAATCAAGCTTATGTGAAAACCAAATCAAGCACCAATTATGACTTCATTAACATGCTTAATAAGGTTTATAATTGCAGTAGATTAGTGATGCAACCATACATTTAATCTACCTTTAACATGCCATAATTAATCAAGGTTTAAAGATTTAAAATTTTTCGTCAAAAACGAAAACCCCTCAAAAAACATGTTTCTGGGTGGATTCTGGCTTCTGGACAGCCCTTAAAGAGAATCAAAACGATTTAGAACATCGATTCCACCCAAAAATCACTGTTTTTGAGTCGAAATCTAGGTTCATTGGCCAAATCAGTAAAATACGAGATTAAAACTAATTAAAACGAGCTTCTAATCTAATTAGAAAGCAAAACCAGAATTTAAATCCATTTTAAATCACCTGAATTAATTATTAGTTACAATAATTAAAATGAGCGCGGCTCCGATACCGCTGTTGGATTTCGTAGCGTCCAATACTAAGCGGAAGAGAAACCCGCCCAAGACCCGCCTACTAATTAAAGCAACTAAGCATGCAATCACATAATTAAACAACAAAAGAAAGAGATAGGGAAATGACATTCTTACCCTCTGATATGTTCATTTTATATAGAGATTTACCCTCGTCCCTTGGTCATTTTTAGGAGTATTATGGGCTCTTCAGAGTCACTTTTATTACTAATATGCGTTTTCAACTGTTTTCGTATTCTGTTTTATAGGAAATTGCAAATTTGGAGCATTTTCCCGGACTTATGATAAGCCACTATGAGCATTGGAGAATTATAACAGTATTTCATAGCCCAAGACCGGTTAGAGTCATCAAATCGGTGATTAAGGGCTTGGCACATAAGAGACCGAGGCAATGGACCAAGTATTCAAGACCAAAGGTGGAAAACCCGGAATTGGGCCAAGAGAGTTAGCCCAAAAGTGAAAAGGTCCAGCTCGCCCGACTGGGCAAGCCCTCACCCTGAAGCGCCGCTCGGCCGGGCGAGGCATATAGAAGAAAAAGTGGCTTCGCCATGAGGTGCGCCCGACCGGGCGCGAGTGAAGACTAAAGGCTCAAAAAGGCAGGCCCGGCCAGGCGAAGCTCTGCCCGACCGGGCGCGTGTTTCTGAAGAGTTTTATAATTTATTTTGTTTTATCTTTTTAGCCTAAGTATAAATACGTTTTATTTTAGGAAGTTAAGGACGTTTTTTCACTCTCTTACTTAAAATTTCGGATTTAGTTAAGCTTTTGTTAATACTCTTACTTTCTCTCACTACACTTTTGAGTTTTATGCAATTCATTACTTTCATTAATTTTGGTAACGATTCCTTCCCTTTCATTTCCAGCAATTAATTTCTTTGATTAATTATGTCTTGCTTAATTGCTTTAATTAGTTTAGATTTAATTATGTGTTAGTAGTTTAATTCTAGGGTTTGTGGGGATCCATAAATAATATGAAGGGGTAATTTATTATTGTTAACTGTCAATGCTTAATTGATTTCCTATTGATTGATTTAATGCTATGCAATTAGATTTGCGCAGGTTTAATTGTATGAGTTATGCAATATTGATTCGAGAGATGAGAATTGATGTTAAGGCTTAGTTTCAATAGGAAGGTTAATTTATAAATGGTTAAGTCAAGATTCGAGAGATGCGATTTAATACCGGTAGATTAATTCTGTGATTATAATACGTAGCGAAAGCCCTTTATAATTTGGTTAAATTATGCATTGATAATTGATTGTTATGTTTTATCCTGGAGTTTTAAGTATTGGCGAACCTATGACCCTAGGGTTTTTATTATTGAATTTTCCCTTAGTTTAATTATAGCCTTTAGTATAATTCTCACAATTCTTACTTGTTTGCTGATAATTTAGATTATAATAATTTATTAGGAATAAAAGAACATTGTTTTGCTGTGGATTCGACCCTACTTCCCTATCTATTTTAGTTAGTAGTTTTAGGAATTACTTTTGATTAGGTGATACGACTTTAGCCTGTCACCCTCGACGCGTGCTTCGCTCCTATAGAGCTCGGACTTCAAACCCTTAGCTCCGCAAGCGCGAGAGCCTTCGACATAGTCCACCCTTGAGACCTGACCCGAACGGCCTCTACCTCGAAGGTTAGTCGGGGCTAGACGAAGAAAAAACTAGAGTATTACGAACTTAAAGGTTTTCTCACCTACAGGGATATGCCTTATTGAGTTCAATTCAAGTGATTTTTCCCAAACCCAAAACTTGGGTATTTATAGGGAATGTAGACTTGATCTCCCTTCTCCCATCAATGTGGGAGATTTGCATTTTCCTCTATTTTATTTTAATCAAAAACAAAATAAAAATGCAAGACAATCAACAAGCTCCAAGTGTCACATGGAGGGATCGGAGGGAGTAGATGAGGACCACCAAAGGGGGGGACCAAATCACCTTGCTCCCCAATCCAAACACCAACCCCTTGGTCTCCTCCCTTTGACCGGCTGACTATGCCACATGGCTGGTTGGCAGCCTACTTTGCTACCAAGGCTGCCAGCTGGCGCCTAGTACCAAGGCTGGGTTGCGCAGCCAGCACGCCCACGCATGCGTGCAGCTAGCAAGCGACACATGCGGGCTGATGCTCCTAGGCGCTGCTATGTGCGTGTGCTGGTGCTGCTGCTATGCGATGCCTAGCATGCATAGCCCATAGCACAAGCTCGCATAGCGTGCTACTGTGCGTGTGCTATACGCTGCCTACTTGCGATGCTTGCGGGCTGTGCTTAGCCATGCCCAGCATGCTGCGATGGCTAATGCTGCTACGCTAGCAAGCACGCCCAGCCATGCATGCATCTTGCGATGCTTGTGCCATGCGATGTGCGTATACTAGGCGACGCTAGGCACGCATGACACGCATGGGTTGGTGACCTCGCCTAGCCTAGCACTCTCATGGCTAGGCCAATGCAAGGCTACGTCTTGGCTCGAACTTGTCGCTTGTAGAATCTACGTCTCGTCGAATTCTAAATTCGACTCGACTTGCAAAGCTCGGTTTCGACGCTCTAAGCTCGATATCCAACGTCTTTATTCGTAATACTCTAACGACTCATTTAATCCTTCGGATTAATTTGTCGTCTCGGATTGGTTACTCGATTGGGTGTGACCCGAATCAGTCAAGATTAGCTGTAATATTAATTACACATTAATATTACTGATCGGAAGCGGCCTCCACGTAGGCATTCCGATCACTTGACCTCATTGAAGAGTTAGATTTCTAATAATTCTGAACCCTCTATCGGAATAATACACTTGTTGGAAGGACACCATTCCTTTCATATGTTAATTGCAAGGTGTATACGTGATTGAACTTTGAAAGTGTTGATTGAGATTAGGAATCAAGTTATGTTTTGGTGGCTAGATACCTTTGAAAGTGATTGGTTTGAATAGAATGTTTTATATGATTTTATTGGTGATTGAATTAACTTGATTTGAATTATGATTTATGAAATAAAGTATGTTTGGAGGTACTGATTTTAATATATGTTTTATATTTAAAGGATTAATCTCAATATCATGTTTTCAATTACTTATCATGTTAAAATAAAGGAATTAATTTGAAAAGCTTGTTGAATAATTAAATAAAAGGTTTTGATCTTGAAAGGAAGAGTTATTGACTTTTGAAAAGTTATTAATATGAGATTTAATTCTCAAGTATTTATTAAAGGATGATTTTAAAAGCATGTTAAATTAAATAAAAAGGAGTTTTGAATTACTTTATTATAAAGGTTGATATTATTCAACGGAGGAATTTTTTTGAGGATTTATTGAATTATTTATCAAAGCTTTACAAGCATGATTATATTAATCCCACTATGCGGATTTGGTTGATAATACTTTAGACTTTGTATGACCGAGTCTTTCCTCAAGGATAATCTTTCAATATAATGATACTAACTTGGGGGGGTGTGCACACTTAGGAGAGGAATTAGATTTTAAAAAGGAATTGGTTTTTATCACTTGAATTATTATTCAAATTATTATTAAGCTATTGGAATTATTTTGAGAATCTTGAGAATTGGTTTTGAATTATAAGGTTTGAGTTATTGAAATAAATATTGGAATTTCATGATTGGTTTTAAAATGATATTTGCTAATAAATTGAGTTTACTTATCTTGCACTTATCGTACATAGCATATTTTGCTAATTTGTATTTCCTATTTGTTTTGGTTCGCTCTATTTACCTTAATGGTAAGAAGTGTTGACTATTTTCACGAGGAGTCATGAATGAGCATATGGGAGTCCCGGTATTTGCTTCACCTAATTTAGGAATGTTGGTTTTGTCTTTGTTTTGAGTACTCATAACAATGTTACTATTTTTATAAGTATTAATAAAAAAGTTTAGTTTTCCGCTGCAAGTTTTATTATTGAGTTAAGTATTTTTGCGTAGCCTTGCGTAATCACGCAGCGATAATATTCCTAAGTCTATCTCTACGGTAGAATTATATGTATTATACTAGTATTTCCATAGAGGGAGATTTGGAGTTGTTACAAGGCCGAAATCCTCAGTATTTCTCTTGCCTTTGAGCTTGCTAGCTCTGCTTCTTAGACCCTCCACTGTTTCCATCTAACGGAGGATGTCTTGGTTGTTAGCTTGGGCCTTGGCTGCTTTACAAAGGTCTTCATGGGCCTCTTCAATTTGATTGAGGTTGATCTCGGCAAACGCTTTTCTGTAAAGGCTTAGTGTTGTTTCCATCAAGCATAATGACATTTGAGCAGAGTTCCTTAGTTTGTTCATAATCTCGAATCTTAGGGCGCAAGCTGCAAGGTTTAACTCAAGGGATATGGCAAGGTTCCATAGAAGAATGCACTCATCTTCATTTCTCGTTAGTATAAAACACAACAATTTCAACCCTCTGTCAAACTTAGCCCCAGCAAAAACGACTTCACCCTTTTTAAAAAGGATATTACCCTCCTCGCTCAAGACCTTAGCTTGATTTAGGATATTTTAGGGGCAATTATTAGTAGCAAAGTTCACAATGCTTTCATCATAATTGTCATTCAAGTGTGTGCGAAAGGGCGTTATTCAATTTATGGCAATCCATAACAAACTACTAAAGATAAAAGGGATTGACTACAAACTACACTAAAGAGGAACTCACGAGCAACACCAAGAAGTAAATGGACTAAATAGACCAGATTTGAGGGAAACCCAATTAAAAGCACTTAAATAGAAGCTGAACAAAGGACGTTATCGGTCGGAGAACTAAACCCCACCCGCATCAAGAGAGAAGGGGGTCAATCCAAACCAGTCGGCGTGACGGGCGACGATCGAGTCACCGTCACAAGTACCGCGATACCTCGAACAGCGAGGATGAATGGTTCAGCGTCTAAACACCCGGGGTCTCCCGCGAGCTGGTCGGAATAGATAGAGGACGGTCCCGCCGCCGAACGAGAGGTAAAGCCGCCTGCTCTGATCGCCGGTGGTCCGCCTAACGAAGCAAGACAAGGTACTGGTTTTATTAAAACTAGGGGCCTTGAGAAGTCTGGTTTTGGGGTTTTGGTTCTCGCGCGTGGAGCGCGTTCAATCCTCAATTTAAAATTTATAGTAAGATTTTCAAGTTCAATCAATTAATTACTACATTTTTAATTGCCCAAACTTTTTTTATTAAATAAAATGTTGGGTGGATAAAAATTTACTTATCAGATTCATATAAAAGAATAAATCATACCCCGTATTAAATTATAGGTAAAACTTGTTGATGAGTATAAGACAAATTTGTTAAAATAGATCTTTTATGTAATTGTCATATTTTGGGAGAAATGACCTTTAGACCATTCTCAGTAGTGAGGAGAAAAAAAACCTATTAATCTCTCTTTACCCACTTTCTCACTCTTCCCATATAATTTCTCTCATTAAATGTTTTTTTCACCACAGTAATGAGGAGAAAAAAAACCTCTCATCACTTTCTCCTCCACTATTTACTATATACCCCACCATAATACACATCATCTTTTTATTTTATCTTTATTTTGAAATAATGTTTATACTACATATTTTTCTTTCCAATACAATTAAAATATATAAAAATAATTTATTTTTTAATTACGTTTTAAAAATAATTTTATAAAAATTTATAATTTTTATATTTATTTTTCAATTACGTTTCAATTATAATTTAATAGTTTTGTTATTTATTTGTCAATTACGTTTTAATTATAATTAATAATATTTTATTTATTTTTCAATTACGTTTTATTTATAATTTAATAATTTCTTATTTAACATTTTAATAAGTAGCACATTTTTGAAATGAACACATAAAATAGTCACATGGGAAATAAACAAGAGAGTGAGATAAAGGAAGGAGAGTGGATGAATGAGAGATAGAAAGGGTGATGATTAATTTTGAGTCAAGGGTTGCCTAGGGCGGGATAATGGTAACAATTTAATTTTTTAGCGGGAAATTATAACTTTTGTGTTGATTTTGGCGGGAAAAGGTTTGCTGTTCTGGCTTATAGTGTCATACTGTCATCAGTGTCAACAGTAGACCTTTGTCATGTTATTATCTTAAGACATAAAGTCCATGCCTACACTTCAACATGCCAGCTGTCAAGGTGATTTTTTTTAAGATAATAACATGACAAAGGTCTACTGTTGACACTGATAATAATAATAATAATAATAATAATAATAATAATAATAATAATAATAATAATAATAATTATAATAATAATATAATAATAATAAAATACAAACACGAGTATTAAAACATAAATAACGATACAGTTACAAATAACAAACTAAAAAATTATTTATTCAACCGCATTATGACTAAATCTTGTTTTAGAGATTAATGAATTCAAATCCTGTTCTCAAAATACGTGTTGAAATCAATGTTGGGTGGTCGCCCGACGTTGAATTCAAATGGCTCGTTGTTATTCACCGTGGCACTTGTGCTCGGGCCTGCCCGCCTCACCGTACGTTGTGGTCGATCTTCTTCGTAGTATCGTCTCAAAACCATCTGCACGTGCGTAGTTGTGTCGTTCATCCTCGACGATCATGTTGTGCATTATTATACAGGCTTTCATAATATCACAGAGAATATCTTCGTAGTATAGCAAACCTAGCTTGTAAAACTCCGAAAGCCCGTTCGACGTCTTTCCGAACTGCTGCTTGTTATCAGCAAACAACTTGTCTTTTCTAACATGAGGATGTGTTATACCTTGTATAAAAGTTGGCCATCTCGGGTAAATCCCATCGGCCAAGTAGTAGCCCAACTCGTATTGATGTCCATTAACCGTAAAATTTATGGGTGGTGCACGACCTTGTAAAACATCATCAAATACCGGTGAACGGTATAGGACATTCAAATCGTTACATGACCCAGGCATTCCAAAGAATGCATGCCAAATCCATAGATCCTGATCAGCAACAACTTCAAGAATGAGAGTTGCACTCTTGCTCCGACCAGCATATTGTGCTTTCCAAGCAGTAGGACAATTCTTCCACTCCCAATGCATGCAGTCTATACTACCAATCATGCCTGGAAAACCACGCAGAACATTTTGATGAAGGATTCTCCTTAAATCTTCATCTGTAGGTTTTCGTAGATATTCACTTTCAAATAGTGAAATAACCCCTTGACAGAAATGTTGCAATGCCTGCCTAGAGGTTGTTTGGCCGAGACGTAAATATTCATCCACAGCGTCTGCGGCTACGCCATACGCTAACATTCTTATTGCAGCGGTGCATTTCTGCAATGGTGATAAACCAAGCTTCCCTGTTGCATTTCGACGTTGCTGGAAGAATTGATCCCCCTCAACCACCTTGCTCATAATGCGGCAGAACAATGACCGTTGCATACGGAATCTACGTCGGAATTGGTTGTCGTTATACACTGGATTATTCGCAAAATAATCGTTGTATAGTTGCACATGCCCTTTTTCTCTTTCCCTATCCCTTTTGGGCTCCGTTGATGTTTCAGTTTCATTATTAAGTGGAGGTTCTTGTGGTTGGTCTTGGGGAAGTAATATATGAGGTAGGTGATTTGCTACATACTCATCAACTAAGCAATCAAATTCATGATTTTTAGAGAAATCATCAGAAGATGAGCTTGAGGTGGAAGAAATGAAAGACATTTTTTTTTTGCTTTGATAGTTGGTGTGTTTGGGATTGTTTCCGTTTATGATAACATATGTATATATAGTAAATGTGAAAGACATTATTTGATGTTAGTATCATTGAATTGCATGTGAGTTAAAGTGGAAATGAAATTGCATGTGACCCGAGGTGACAATTCACTGCATTATTTTAGCTTCTGATTGTGCAGTATTATGGATGCCTGAGCAGAGGTGACAATTCACTGCATTACTTTAGCATGTGATTGTGCAGTGTTATTGATGTCTGAGCAGAGGTGACATGCCATTGAAGTACGTACAGATTGTCAATGGTTGTGATCAGTTCCTTATTTGTTCGATGAAAAATTCGAGACGAAAAAGGAACCCCTCTTTTCGACTTTCAAAATAATAACAGTGCATGTGAATATTATCAGATTTTATCTTTATCAGATATCAGCTTTATCAATTTCAAATTACTAAGAAAACACGTGAATTAACATGACATGACTTCAAATAAACACGAGTACATTACATTAACTGAATAAAAATAAATTTAACATTAACTAAATAAAACATAAGCAAACACATTGCATATCCAAGTCACATGTGCCTTCTACCATATAGCATTGCACGTAATTCCTCCTTGTAGGCCTCTTTATCGGGAGTTAAATCAGTACCCTTTGAAAGTAGATCTTGTAGCATTTCATAGTTCAGCCTTCTCTCTTGTATGTCAACTTGTTTTTGTTGAATTTCGACTTGTTTTTGTTTCCTCCTCTCCCTTTCCATGTCAAAATCCAACTTCTTCAACCGTATTTGTGCCTCCGTTTCCCTACAGGCATTATTCTGCTTCATTTGCTCACCAATGGTTGAAGAATCAGAAGCCACTTCTTTTCCCTTATTACGCTTGGCCTTTCCTTTTCAACACCATCGGGTCGAGGAAGACCTCCAGAACAGAAACCCGTGGATGGTGTAGCACCTTCCTCTTCGGTTCTACATCGCTTATCACTGCCACTACTATCATCTTCGACGGCATCACATGCGGATAATCTTTCCTCTCTTGACAACGCCCACCTAAGTTTTGTCCTCCACTTTGGGTCATTTTTAACCATTTCCAAACCATGGCGACAATTAAAATTATGTTGAGTAGGTTTGGAGGAAGCATAGAATAACTTATTGGCATTATTAATTCGATCTGCTTCGTTGTAGCCACTTCCTGTAGCCCTTCCTGCTTCGTCATAGCAACTACTCCATTGTATTAAATCAGCTGCCATCCTTCTCCAACGACTTTCCAAACTCCTCAAAGGTCTTGATGGTAGAACACTAGTAGAAAAACAGAAATAGGCAACCCCCCATGGCAACGGTTAACCTCTTAAAATAAAAAAAAACCCGTATACATTCCCCTATTCCCCCTCCTCTCCTTCGCTCTCTTTCTCTTCTCCTTCCCGTATTCCCCTTCTGAATCTCTTTCTCTTTCTCTTTCTCTGAATCTCCCTAACCTCTTTGAATCTCTTTCTCTTCTCCTTCCCCTTCTGTTTCTCCTTCCTGTTTCTCCGTATTTTTTTGGGGTTTTTGGGGTATGAATTGCGGAAAGGAGGAGGCGAAATACGAGGCAAGAGGTTAAGTTAAGTTATTTTTTGTCTTTAATATTTCATTCGGTTATTAGATTTTGTCAAAAAATTATACAGTTTTTTGGTCAAAATTGGGAAAAGTCGAACACAAAAACCCTAAATTTCGAATTTGGGAGTTTTCAATTCGGTCCATTATTCTTGAAATTGTTTGTTCCATGTTGTTATGCTATGTTTAAGGAGTGTTTTGCAACAAATTTCATGAAAAATGGTGAAGTATTAAACCTTGTATGAGCATGTCTTTGTTCGAGTTCGTATTGTTGAGAATCTATGAGAACGCACTCCGTAATAATTATGAATTAGTTTTAAAATTTTACTGAGTTTGAGTTGGTTTTCAGTGGGTACATAAAGATATTGTTCATATCAATGTTGAGTTCCTAATTTGATGTAATTGCTCATAATTTAGTCTGAATTGCAATTCTAATGTTGATTTTTGTGAAATTTTAGATATTAAGGTTTTTGTTTGTTGATTTTGGGTACTTGTGAACTTTGAATGTAGAAAACGAGAGATGAACTTGAAGGTATTAGAGGTTCCTGATATCAAAAGGTTAGTTGTTGAATTCGAATGAAATATTTTTAAAATTGAATACTAGCATTTTCTGATCTATTGAAATTTGGTATTGATGGAATACAATTGCTATACTTGGGTAATTTTTTAAGCTATAAGATTTTTGCTAATGTGAAATATACTAAGGATTAGAATGATTTCTGCTAATGTGAAATATACTAAGGATTAGAAAGTGCTAATGGGAATAACCTTCATCATCAAAATATGTGGCTTAAGTACAATTACTTGAAAGAACTATTTACATCAACAATAAAACAAAAGCAACTCCACATTAAACTTTAGGTCACCAATTTTATTCCAAAAACCACACCATTAATGAATTCTGGTGTAGTGGTATGGCTGATTTCAGAGACAATGGTGTAGTTTTTGGAATTGTTGTTGCAAAAACCTTCAACATCAAAAGGTGTGGCTGAATTTTGGAATTGTTATCGCAAAATGAGCTGAGATTCAGAATGCTATTTCTGAAGGTGATTTTATTTCTCTGTGTTATTTCAGTTATTCATTATTGATTTTTTATGGGTTTGCTTTGATCTAATATATGTAATTTGATTTGGATGACTTATGGGTTTGTCTTATTTTTGTTGTTGTTTTTGGTTGCATACATTGATTGAATTGAAATTATTTTGAATTTTCAAAATTTCCTATGATAGTGTAAGATTTTGCAAATATTTAGGTGGTCTTAATTTGCTAAAAATTCTTCTTTGGGAGTGTTGCTTTTATTAATTTCTTCTGAATTTGTGGTTTACTATGAAAAGTTAAGATCAAGTTTGGTGGAAAACAGGTTGTGTGTGATGGATCATCCCATGACCCGACCCATACAAGTGTATACTCGGAGGGCCAAGAGTAGCAAGGCAAGAGTCCATGGTCAAGAGGTCAACATTAACAAAAAGGGCCAAGAAATCAGCAGCAACAACAAAGAACAAGAGGACAAAACCCATTAAGAAGCAACTAAGGAAAATAAGCAACAAAGCTCCTATTATGTCTAATATGGTTTTGCCATTTTAGTTAATATTCACATGTATCAACCTAAAAATGGTTAAGTATTAAACCTTGTATGGGCTGTTTTGTTTTTGCTGTTTGCTGCGCTGGGTGTTTTTCTCTATGTTGCTATACTGTAGTCTGTCTGATGCTTGGATGGACTACGGGTGTGCTCTGTTTGAAGCTTGCAGGCCTGGAGCTGCAAGGTCTTCTGCTGCTGTTGCTGTTGCTTTTGCTCATACGTAGATTTTTTATGGTCATATGGAACTATGTATATCGTAAGACGTACTACTATTTTATTTTATTTTAGATGAAAAGTGTAAATATTTCCAAGTTATTAATGAAAATAAATAAGGTTTCATATATTATTTTGGATGAAAAGTGTAAATATTTCCTAGTGATTGCCGCAAAAAAAAAATAAAAAAAAAAAAAAAATTTCCTAGCAATTGGCAACGGTTAACCGTTGCCAATGGGTCAATGATAACGGCTAACCGTTGCTAATTATTTTAAAAAAATAATAATAAAAAAAAAATTGGTCAATGGCAACGGTTAACCGTTGCCAATTGCTTGAGTTGGCAACGGTTTTGAACCGTTGCCAATTATTTTGGGATTTGGCAACCCTCAAATAAGCAACGGTTCAAAACCGTTGCCTTTGGGGGGGTTTGAACCGTTGCCAATTTGCCCTTTTCGTGTAGTGGAATGTGAGGTTTCTCAGCCTGCGCTTGATCATATGCCGCTGAAATTTTTCTCCAAAGCACAGATGCTTTTTGGTTTGTACCAACAATTGCATCTTCACTGAATTGCAGATACAAACCAATAAGAGTTTCATCCTCCGCAACAGACCACATTCGACTCCCTTTTGTAAGTGGTTGGTTTTGATTGACAGACACTCTTGGAGGAGGTGGAGGGTATTGTGGAGTATCTAAAATAGTTTCTTCCATTTCATCTTCATATTGAGAATTGCTCCCTTGATAAACAGGAGGTGAATGTGGTTCATAGGTATTGTTTTGGATAGGAAATTGTGGAGGTGTTTGTTGTTGTGGAAACTGAGGAGGTGTTTGTTGTGGTGGAAATTGAGGAGGTGTTTGTTGTGGTGGATATTGAGTAGCTATTCGTTGAAGGAAAGTTTGAAATCGAGGGTTAGTGACAAAATCATCACCCAAATCAGAAAAATATTTAGAAAAATCTGGGTTGTTAGGATCCATTAGCAAAAAAAATATTAATAATAATAATAACAACAACAACAACAATAATACTACTACTTTTTTTTGACAAAATAATAATACGATTTTTTTCAAGGATTAATAAATTTAACAGAAATAATAATAATGAAATTAATAATAATAATAATAATAATAATAATAAAAATAAAAGTAATTACAATAATAATAATAATAATAACAATGATTATAATAATTATAATAATAACCATAATAATAATAATAATTATAAGAATACCAATAAAACTACTACTTTTTTTTTAATTAATACTACTACTACTACTACTAGTAATAATAATAATAATTATAATAATAATAATAAAAATAATAATTATACTAATAATAATAACTGATAATTGGGTTTTTTTTTTTTACAAATAATAATAATAATAACTCAAAGAAATTGGGAAAATAAGTAAATTTGTAGTATTTATGGGTTTTTTTGAAAGTATATCAAAATGCTTGTCTATTTATAGAGAAAAAAAAAATCTATCCGTTGGTGATTTTTTTTTTTTTTTTTTTTATAATTACAACGGTTATATTTATGTTACAAAAATATAACCGTTGTAATATTAGCAGAAAATTCTGATTGGTTGGTGCCAAAGACACTGACGCGTGTCGCATCCCCATTGGATGGCCTGACGCGCGTCAGTGATCCTGCCCCCTTATTTTTTTTTCCTGAAATGCCCCTCAAAACGACGTCGTTTAGGCCTTGTTTAAGCCAAAACGACGTCGTTTTGTATACCAGAAAGGAAAAAAATAAAAGCCAGCTTGCGTGTACTTGTGGGCCCCACAAGTTACTGTTCACGACCATTTTCACTCAACTCTTGTGCGTTTTCCATTGCTCTCAACGGTGAGGGTTTTTTCCCTCACTGACGTAGTGTTCGGGTTTATTTTTTACACCTTTATTTTTACTCGTGAGGGCTTTTTTCCTCATTGGTGGGAGTGCTCTTAGAAAAAGGCCAAAAAGGCCTTATAATTAAGTGATTATGGTTGTGAGTTGGGCCCTCTACTCCTTTTTCGGGGAGTTGATCACCGGAGTCCAACATTAATCGACATGTTGGCACATGATATTAATTAAAAAAGACCCTTTGTATAATATCTCGAATTGAGCTGAGAAAATTGTTCATTTCAGGTTTGGGATCATTTTGGCTCTTATGGGTCTAATTTTTGAGATCATAATGGACAAAAAATAATAGAAATGATTTGTTTGTGTGTCAAGAAATGTTTCAATTTACGTGCCATTATATTTAAGCCGAGAAAATTATTCGGTTAAGGTTTTGAGGCATTTTAACCCATAAGAATCCAATTTGAGGTCAAAATTAGTACAAATATCTTGTTTTGTGTGTCAATAAATCTAATTTGACATTTTTCACATAAATTAGGGCGGCTAACTTGTGCAAAGCACGTGCCATAACTAGCCATGTTGGAGGAACTCCTTCGCTTTGACCTTATGTCACAAATTTAATTGTTGAGGAAAATAAGTAAACAAATATTTTTAGGTTACAAATCTTGGCACACTATTCATAAGAGTTAAAAAAATAGACGATTTACATTAATAAGGGAAACCGAGTAAATACACATTTTAAGGGTACAATTGTCCAAAGTCCAAACAGGAGTAACGCTTTGTTCACTTCAACTCTAAGAAATAATATTCAGTAAAATAATTTCAATTTATCAAAAATAAATTAATTTCATTAAAAATAAGTTAAGTAAAAATCAGTAAGTTCAAATACAATTATTATAGAGAAACAATAATTAATTTACTTCAGTAAAAATAATTTAAATTCATAAAAAATAATTTAAGTTCATAAAAATTAGGAAAATTTGATTTTTAACACAAAAAAAAAGACTGATATTATTATTTAACAACTCCAAAAAAAAAAAAAAAAATTTAACACCACCAAAATTTTAAAAAAATCAATTTTACCACCACTTAACTGATTCTATCCAAGAATCCGTTAAGTGATGCCATAAAGCCACGTGTTGCTTTGTTATTGGTAAAAAAAGTAAAAATTATTTTTTTTAAAAAAAAAGTAAAAGTTGCCCGGAATAATCCCACATTTGGGGCATCCGCCCAAAATAATCCCACCTTTGGGTTATTTTTAAATAATCCGACCTTTATACTCAATCCGCTCAAAATGGTCCTAAGTGACCTGTAGCCGGTTGAGTAGGTGATTTTTTTTATTAAGTTTAATTTACACGTGTCACCACGTGATTGATCAAAAAACAAGTTTTAGTTTTAATTTTGTTTTAAGAAATGATTATTAGTTTTTTTTTTGAACGAATAAGACATGATTATTAGTAATTAAGAGTAATTAACTATTTAAAACTTATTTCTCAAAAAAAAAAACAAAAAAAAAAAATTAAAATAGACCCCAGCCCCACTGCGACTCCAGCCACCTCCCCGCCCCAACCATCGGCCTAGAGCCGCTAGCCCCACCGCGACCAGATCCTAGCTCCCCCGGCTGTTCGCCGACCCTCCCCTACCCCCTTCCGTCAGCACTAAACCACCACAACCATTACTAAAATCAAGGTGTGGAAGGCGAGAGGGGCCGAAGTCGAGGCTTGGGAAGGAGATGGGGGCCGCAATCGGGGCATAGGGAAGGGGAGGTTTCCGGAAAAGGGACGGGGGAAGGGGAGGGAAGCTGGGGTTCGGGACGGAAAAGGGGCTTTTGAGGGTTGGGGGATAGAATTATGGTCGCCGGTGCTTTTTCTAAACCCTGCTTACTGGGTTTTCGTGGGGGAGGGAGGAAGGTTGGTGGTTCAGGGGAGGGGGATCGGGAACGACACCCACCCTAACACCGGCGTTGGGGTTGGGTTTGGCGGCCGGAGCCGCGGAGCAGGGGACTCAGGCGGTGGCTTGGGCAGCTAGTGGGTGGTTTTTTAATTATTAATTACTACATCCGTTTCGTATTATCTACAACATTTTCCAAAAATAGATGCTACATATTATGTGCAACAAACCAAAGTTTCCTCTTTTAGTAAATTTTTTTGTGTAAAATTACCATCATACCCTTACTAAATTTTACTTAATTTCAATACACAACATATTAACTCTTTAACCCAAATTAATTTATCCATAATTAAAACTCTAACCCACATTCTCTCTCCTCCCTCACAACCACATCTAGCATCCACCACTAACATTACCAATTTTTCTCTCTCTTTCCTTTCAACCACCATCACCAGCAGCCATATTCTCTCTTCTCTCTCTTCTCTCACAACCACCACACCACCACCACTCAGATCAAGTTTCCGACCATTTCACCACACCCTTGCCAGTACGCCGCCGCCTCATTTCCTCTTTTCAAAGTCGCCGCCCCTCACTCTATCATATTACAACTCGCAATTTGGGAAAGGTGAAATTCGATGGTTTTTTTTAACAATACGAGGTGAGGTCTTGGTGGTGCTGCGTTTTGGATCTTGGTGTTGGTGAGGTGGGTTTCAGATTTTTATGGTGGTGAGGTGGGGTTTCAGATCTTTGTGGTGGTGAGGTGGGATTTTGATTCGCTTCCTTGGTGGTGGTAAGTTGGGGTTTCAGATCTTAATTAGTGGTGGTTTGTTGGGGTTTTAGTCCGTTGGAGGTGGTAAGGTGGTTGTTTCGGTTCGTTGGTGGTGGCTGGTCTGGTTACGTGGGGTTTCGGTTCGTTGGTGGTGGCTGGCCTGGTTACGTGGGGTTTCGGTTCGTTGGTGGTCTGGTGACGTGGGGTTTCGTTCATTGGTGGTGGCTGATGACATGGGGTTTCGATTGGTGGTGGTGTGAGTTGGTTAGGTGGGTTTTGCGTGGTGGTGGTGGGGTTTCAGATCTTAGTGGTGGTGAGAGGGTGGTTACAAGGTGGGTGCTGGTGGTGTTTACTTTCTCTCTCATCCAATTAATCACATGCCCCTTTTTTACTAATCTTTGCTTAAGAAATTTTGTCTTGGGGATTGTGCAACCAAGTTTGTTGCAGATAATACGAAACGGAGGTAGTATTTTTTTTCTTTAAAAAAAATAATTAATTTTTACTTTTTTGACCAATAACAGGCCGCTACGTGTCAAGTAACTTATTATAACAAGTTACATGACCAAGGACCATTTTGAACGGATTGGGTATAAAGGTCGGATTATTTAAAAATAATCCAAAGGTGGAATTATTTTTT